CTGATGGCAAAATTGAGACAGGTGAGTGTCCTGGTTTTCAAGAGCAGAAAACCCAGGGGATTGGACACCACAGAGCAGCAGGTTAGCATGAGTTCTTGGGAAAGCTGTTGTGCCAGGCCTGGGGTCCAAGGGAAGAAAACGAATCAAAGCCGGTTAGTGATGCCGAGAGCAGCCTCAAGCCCATTTCCTCCTGTGGCAGGATTACCCGGCCCCAGTGGAGGTCACTAGCACAGTGATTGGTTGCAAAAAGGCATTTAGTGGTCGTTTGCGTGGACAGGCGGGGAACTGCGGGCTGACACTGCAGTGGAAGGTTGAGCGGCACCCCAGCCCTGTCTGAAGTAGCCCTCAGGTCGTCCTGGTTGTCGGGCACAGAGACTTCGGGTCCCCTCTCCCTGTCACTCAGCTGAATCAACATCTTAACCTTCAAAGGGGGAAGTTTTCGAGGCAGCTGTGTAGAAACGTTTTGTGAAGTACTGCGTTCCCACCCTGGGGAAGCGCAGGGTGCCCTGGCGCGGCCTTGGCCTCTGTGTGTTCCTTCTCGGTTGAGGGTGGGAGGTGGCTGAAGCTGCTCCTGCAGCTCCACTGCGCCGGGCCGGGGCGCCTGATCGGCCGGGTGGGAGTCACAGCTCCAGAGCCCGCTTTCTGGTGTTGCTCTGCGAACCGTGCGCCCTCTGCCTCTGGGCTGTTCTGATTGCGTCCATCCTGCAGCTGTTGGGCTCTGTGAATTCTCTTATCAGGAAAGTGCATCTTTGGCCCTAGAACTGTTTACTTGCCAGTAGCACCTTGCCGTTTCAGAAGAACTAACGGCTCCAGCCTCTTGTCCATGGTCCTGTGTGTTGTTAGGGATGTTTCTCTCTCTGGGTGAAACTTGGCTTCCTGTGACCATCTGAGCCTGCGCAGGTCCTGACAGTGGCTTTCCCCAGCAGCTGTTATCACTTGAGCCTTACGGTCTCAGGTCAGCTCGTGATGGTCACTGACATGTGTGGTGGCTGACCAGGACCCACACGCGCCTGAATTCTCCAGGTTTCTCGTGGAGACCTGGACTCCTATACCTTCCTGAGCACTGTGGAAACCTATTTGCACACCTTGTCGATAAAATGGGCCCACGAGCAGCAAGGGAGACTGTTTTCCCTTCTGGAACTCAGAAGGGGCTTTTCGGGTGCAGAAGCAGCATGAGGCGGGTGGAAAACAGGCGTGTCGGAAGCACATCCACAGCGAGAAGGGTTCCAGCCACCAGGGACAACTCACTGAAGGCCACAGGGTGGGACCTGAAGGCTGGCTCCGTGGCCCTTGAGTTCCAGTTTGAAGCAGCTGGGCCTTTAGGGTCAGGGCTGGACGCCTGCCGTAGCTCATGCCAGGCCTGGGTTGGAGATCTAATTTGACGGAGGAAGGTCCCTGGGACCCACTGCTGAGGTGTGATTGCACTCGGGTGTGTTAAAGTCAGTGCTCTGTCCACACTGCACCAAGAGGCCCAAACCTTCCACCCGAGGAGAAGCAGGGTAAGGGCTTGCTGGCATGGGCGTGAGCAGCTCCGGGCCAGGAGCCCTCCCTGTGGGGCAGATACTGTCCTGCCTGAGGCTTTTGTGTGTGTAGATGGCTGCCTCCAACCCCTCTCTGTGACATCTACAGTACAGGTGTCCGTCCTTTGAGAGGAACTTAGTGACATGAGAGGGTCAAGAAGACGACACTGGGGTGGCAAAGGAATCAGGCCCCAGGTCACCTTGTCATGGCTGAGAGGACATGGTCCTGAGCCCCGAGAGTGATTTTAGACCCTGGAAAGGTCAGGATGTGGAGGAGGAGTTAGGCCCAGTCTGTCTGGGCACTTGACGGGCAGGTGCCTGCTGGCATCGCCGAGGCTGAGGTTGCCAAGAGTGGCAAGGAGTCTCCGCGCTCAGGGCCAGGTTTCCCGCGGAACAGCGGAAACTCCGGAGTTGGCTGTGACAGTGACAGGATCTGTGCTCCCCCGGAGGCAGAAGCAGGCTGATCTCAGCTCATTTTGGGAGGGCCTTTGCTAACAATCAGACCTCTTCCCAAATGGAAACAGGTCCTTGTCCTGTTGGCCAGATGCTGGGCCTGAGCTGGGAGAGGTTCCTGCTTGGAGTGGGCTGGCGTATATGACTGCATCAGCTCTCCAACGCTGGGACCAGGTATCTGAGGCTCACAGCTGGGAGGAGGAGGGCTTGTTTGGGCTCACGGTGTCAGTCCATGGTCTGCCAACTCCATTGCTGTAGGCCGTAGAGAACCAGAAAAGTCAAGGTAAAAATGGGGGCTAGAGGCAAGCTGGCAGCTGGGAAACAGGGAGGGAGAAGCGGCCAGGGATAAGACACACGCTCCAAGGCATCGTCCTGCGGCCTGCCTCCTCCGGCTGGCTCCACTTCCTAGTAGGCCCTTTGCTGTGAACTCGGCCAGTGTGTTAGTCACCTTCTCATCACTGGGAGAGAATGTCTGGCACCGCAGCTTATAAGGAGAGAGGTTGGTTTGGCTTACGGTTTCAGAGAGTTCAGTCCGTGGTCAGTGGCTCCAGGGCAGATACGATAGAAGGGCCTGGGTGGAGGAGAGCTGCTCACAGCATGGTGGCCAGGAAGTAGAAAAAGAAGGGAAGAGCCCTGAAATGCCCAGGCCGTGCCTACAGTGACCGCCGCCTCTGACCAGGCTCCACCTCCTAATGGCAGCTCAGCTGTGAGCCCCTGCAATGCAGTCAACTTCAGAGGTCTTGTCTAGGATTCATGAGGCCTTGGGGGCATCGAGATGTAATCCCTAGCATCAAGTCAGCAGCCTCCTATACCAGTGCCCTCCCTGGACCCCACCCCTGAGCACGGGGCACTGTAACCCAGTCCTCAGTGCCTGACTTCTTGGGGGACGCTTCTCGCTTAGACCATGGCCGGCACTGTTCTCAGTCTCTGTGAGACCAGACAGGAGGAGCCCCCGTCCCAGCCCTTGGGGTGCGGAGTCCTGGATGGCCCATGCTGGCCGTGTCCTCTTTGTGCCACCAAGTAGCCGCAGTGGCGTCCTCTGTTACTTCCCTGGCCTTACTTCCTGCGAGGTCTGAAGGCTGGGGGGTCCTGCTTGCTGGCTTTTGCATCTCCTGGCCTCTGCATGTTGGGCACTGGCCCAGCCCTGAGCCCTGCTTAGGATCGTCTGAGCCTCAGCAGCATCGCCTGGAATGGGATGCAGAGGGGTGGGGTGGCAGCTTGGGGTGCAGACCTGCACCTGTGTCCCCAGCTCTGCAGGGCAGGTGGGCTGTTCTTTCAGAAATGCCTGGATGCAGAGCAGATGCAGAGCCTATTCTCCAGCTGCTGTGGGCCCAGTCTGTGGATGAAGTGGGCTCCTGGCGGGACACCTTGCCTCTGGAGAGGAGGGAGTCTCCCCTGGGATAGGAGCCAAGTCAGCCCTCTGCCCTTCTGTGCGACATACTTGGCCAAGTCCCCTTCTCCCCCCAGCCCCCCTTGAGCCGCTACAGCCACAGAGGCAAAGAATGGGGGTTCTGAGCCCCAACAACCAGTTCATCTCACCTGGGGCTTTAAAAGATGCTACTGCGTGCATGGCCCTATCCCCAGAGAGGATTGCCTGGCTGCCTGGTGCGGTCCTGGAGCCCGAACCCAGGTCACAACCCTTTGCTCCGAGCTCTGTGTCCAGCCCATTCTTCACTTCTATAAAACTTGCAGACAGGTCTCCTTAAGTCTCTAGGATGCCCAGGCTGGGCTCCAACTTGCAGTCCTCCTGCCTCAGCCTTCCATAGTGCTTCCAGAGGCACAGGCCACCAGGACTGGCTCCAGAGATATTTTTTTAAAGGAGCCTCCTTGATTTCATGTATCTGTCCAGGCCCCTCCTCTGGGGCATACGGGGCAGTGGCTGTAGTGTGTTCATGGCCTTGTGCGGCCATCCACACAGTTTCTGGATGTCACAGCAACGCTTTCCTGTCCCACCAGTGCCCTTAGCCCTGGGTCACCCTCCATCCGCTTTTGGCCGATTTGCATTTTCTGGATGTTTTGTGTAAATGGAACCCTAGATACATGGTTTCATGACTGGCTTCTTGCACTTAACTCCGGGTCGGAGCACGTGTTAGGACTTCATTCCTTTTTATTGCCAAATAATATTCCCTTGTGTCTGGACACTGCATTTTGTTTCTGGTCATCAGTTGGTCAGTTGGTTGACCCCTGGGTTGGATCTGCTTCCCGGCTTGTCCACGGGAGAACCACGAAAACAGGGCTCTGTGTGGGCCTCTGTTTTCATCCCCTCGGGGTAGACACAGGATTTCTGGGTCATGTGGGGATTTTGTGTCTGACATGTTGAGGGACTGCCAACGCAGACTTTTCCAGCGCAGCTGCACGTTGTACAGTTTCATCATGGCCCCGCAGTGATTGCGCCTGGAATCCGAGCGTGTGCCGGCGCAGACGCGTCCTCACTCTGCCTCGACCTGGAGTCAGATTCGTGCAGAGCAGCTCACAGCGCTGCAGCTGGGGAAGAGGGGTTCACCTCATGGCTCCTTCCCAGCAGCAGGGCCCCGCCTGTCTCCCCTGTGGTCCCAGGTGCACCAAGCGCCCCCGGGCCCAAGTCAGGCTGGGGCTGGGCTCAGCTTGGCCAGCTGATCTGGAAGGCTGGCTGCGGTGGAGGGAGGGAGCCCCCGAGGCCACCCCGGCACCCTTTCTGGTGCTGTCTGGAGGAACTGGGTCCCACGGTGCTGGCAGACGCCCGGTGCCGCGCCTGTGAGCCCCAGGACGCCTCTTTTCTCCGATGTCCGTGATGGCGAGCAGCCTGGCCCGGCTGAAGCCCTGCGCTGGTCCTCCCCAGCTTGTGCAAGCCTAGCGTGGGCCAGGCAGTGCCTTCAGGAGCCCGGGAGGTGACAGGCGACAGGTGACTGACAGGAGGCACCACGCATAGCCAGGGCAGGTGCAGAGCCGCCTGTTTCTGCCCCCCAGCGCTAGGAAATCTCTGTGGCGCAGATGAGCATTCGCAGGCGGCGGCTGCAGGCCGGGCTGAGCCTCCTCTTGTGTTCTCAGCCACAGCACAGGGTACGAGAGCGAGAGCCACACGACGCCCATCCTGTGCGGCGCCCAGTACCGGATCCACACGCACGGCGTCTTCCGGGGCATCCAGGTGAGTGCCACACACGCCTGCCTCACTGGCCCTGCCGCGGGGCCGCCCCCCAGGGCCACACCGGGGGAGCCCCTGGCCCGGGCAGCTTTGCGTCAGGGACCCCTGCTTCCTCCATGGCTCAGCAGGAAGGTGAGGTAGAAAAGTGAAAATCCCAGAGCACCCAGCGCCCACCCTGTGGCTGGGTCCCTCACACATGCGGCTCGGTGGCCGCACCAAGGCACAGCTGTGCTCCTGTCCTGAGAGCCCCTGCCCTGGACCCCGTGGCCTGTGGATCGGCACCCGGGCCGTAGGTGGGGCCCTTCGCTCTCCTGTCTCAAGCTGTGAGAAGGGAGGTGGGGGCGCAGAAGTTGGCCGCTGGCGGGGTTCAGGGCACCCTCCTTGCTCCACCCACCAGTGCCTGCGCCGTGACTGGGAGAAGAGCTGTGATTGAGGCCCCCATACCATGTGCATGGCATCAAGGAAGGGACAAGAGATGCTCCCCTTGCTTTCTCCCCAGCAGGCCTGCCCCTCTGATGCCCTGGACAGGGGCGTCTCCCCGCCACCCAGCATCTCCCTGAGGATCCCACCCACCCCGCTGGCTCATGTCACCTGATGCCACCTTTACCCTGGGGCGCCGGGGTGTTGCCAGGCTGTGCACGCCAAAGCTGCGCGTTACCACGGCACCTTTCCTTCCAAACACAGAGGGAACTCGGGTGCTGGCGGAGCGGGACCCACCCAGGGCCGGCTGCTTCCAGTCCAGACCTGCTCATGACCTGCCCACCGCCGTGGCCTCGGCGTGTGTGTCAGTGGTGGAATGGGGAGGCTTAGCAGCCCCAGGGGTATTGCTCCCCCGTGACTCAGTTTGCCTCCAGAAAGAGACCCACTGTGCCTTGGAACAGCATGGAGAGGGCACAGACGGCCGCTGGCCCCTGTGTTTGTGGTGTTGCCACTAAAGGCCGTTCTGGCCACACTGTGGCATCACAGACAGAGCCCTGAGCCCGGCGCCTTCGTCCTCGTCCTTGTGGACACGGGGTCCAGCCAGTTCGGGGAGTTGAGCCACTCCCATTTCCTCTAACGAGGACATCCATGCCGTGGCAGCTTGGACAGAGGGTGTGAGAGGTGTCCCAGATTGGGACACGTTGGAGGCTGAGCCAGGTGGGGTGGGACTCCCCAACACCATGCTGCTTCTGCAGAGGCTCTGCCTGGCACCCCAAGGGGCTTCACCCAGTCTGGGTCCCGCTGACCACTGTGATGTTCCCGGTCGAGCGGTGTAGAAGGTCCCCAGAGTGTCCGGGCGCAGAGGGGAGGGCTGAGATCTCCTAGCAGAGTGCAGCTGTCCCTGCTTTGGGTGATTCCAGAGCTCCTGCCCCGGGGGGTCTTCACCTGTGGCTGACGGCCTCTGTCCTCTACTTCTGCCCAGGACGTGCGGCGCGTGCCTGGGGTGACCCCCACACTGGTCCGCTCTGCCTCCGAGGGCAGCGAGAAGCGCCCCTTCATGTGCGCCTACCCCGGCTGCAACAAGAGGTACTTCAAGCTGTCCCACCTGCAGATGCACAGCCGGAAGCACACGGGTGAGGAGGACACAGGTTGCGGTGGCAGTGGGCGGGGCCGCGAGGTCTAGCTGGAGAGGGCCGAGGCGCGTCTGTCCTCACTCAAGGACTCAGGGACCCTCCTTCAGGACAGGCAGGTGGAGCAGAGTGGGTGGGGGCTGCCGTGAAAGCAGAGATGGGGAGACACCGGGCAGGTTCCATCTACCCTGCGGGGAGTGTGGCGGTGCTGGTGCCTCTGGAGACACAGCCCGCCTGAGGCGGAAGCCCAGTGTTTTCCCTAAGGTCCTCCTAGCGCCTCCGGGGGAGAGAGGAGAAGGCCTGCAAAGGGCGATGAGATGATGGAGGGTCGGTGAGGCCATGGGGCATCTTCCCCGAGCTGGGCCAAGAGGCTGAGTGCGGGGGACAGTGACGGAGCAGCCAGTGGTAGACATGGCCTGTGGTTGAATTGTCCTTCGCAGCCCTTGAGAGACAAAGAGACCATGTCAAGGAAAACGGGGCCCCCCCAGTCAAAGAGTGCGGGCCTCGTCTGGCCACTTCTGAACACAGGGTGGGTGTGTGGCCACGTCCCCCACAGGGACGCCCAGGTTGTCCCGAGATGGCTGGGGCTGGTGTCCCACGCTGCAGGGTGGCCTCGAGAGTCCTTGCTCTCCTGTCTGAGCAGTAGGGGCCAGGAGGCTGGAGCAGCAAAGCAAGAGAGCTGCCTCCCTGCGCCCTAGGGCCCGGGGCTCTGCTCAGCCGGCTCTGGAGAGGCAGCTCGGAGGAGCGGGCTGGAAGCAACGGCGCCGTGCCTGTTGCCTTGTGCGCATCCTGCTCTAGGTTGTGTCCAGTGCTGCCCCGGGGCCCCTTGAAAAGCATCTGTCAGCATTGTAGCAAAACAGTCAAGGACCTCAGCCTGGAGAAACTCCGGCTGGAGGCAGGCGGTATGGTGCCCAGAGAGGGGCGCCCAAGCCCGGGGCAGGGCAGGGACAGGCGCTCACATCCGGAGGCCGGGAGGGGCTGGTGGTCAGCAGCCGCAGCCCCTTCTGCCGGCGAGCGGGGCTTGCTGTGTGGGGTAGGTGTCTGCAGGAACAGCGAGGCTCGTGCACCGAGCGCTGTGACCCTCGCCGGCTGCCCACATGGAGGTTTTCTTCAGTCCCATGCCAGGACTGTGGGGAGGCTCAGAGTCCTGCCTTCTTGGCCCTGCCCCGACAGAGCTTGAGCAGGGCTGGACGCAGAGGGGAAGGGGCGGGACTTCTGTGGCTGGGAGGAACAGGGCCGAGGGGCTGGGAGGACTCTGCGAGCAGCAGGGCTGTGGGGGACATCGGGCTGGTGCGCTGGCGGAGAAAGGGTAAGCGGTCAGGAGCAGCAGCGTCTGTGGGGGGCAGAGGGCAGTGCGTGTCCTCCGCACCGGGAGCTGAGGCCTGGCTGGGCGTGAACCAGAGCCCAGGAAGTGGAGCCACAGCAGTGGGGAGAGGCAGTGCTCCTGCAAGACAGTCAGGGCTGGTCTGACGGATGCTCCCAGGCGTGGTGCTTGTGAGGGGTCAGTAGGACTGGCGCAGAGGGTGTTCAGGGTGAGCTAAGCGCAAGGAGGACTTGGGGATTGTGAGGCTGCTGGGCAGGGTGCAGATGGATCAGGACGTCATGGTGGGGAGGGGGACACCAGGCACCCTGGGGGCTCATTGTCTGCCCGGGATCCAGTGACACAGACATCCGCAAAGCAGGAGGGAAGCCCAGGGTGGCTGTGTGCCCTCGGGTTCAGCTCCAGGCGCTGGCTGAGCTTTCTGGGCAGGGGTTGTGCGAGCCATGCCCCTCTTCCCTGGGGCAAGGGAGGGACACAGGGCCTACGTCTTGCAGCCTGGAGTGTGCATGCTCAGCGCAGGAGTGAGAAGTCAGTAGCAGAGGACGCCGAGGCTTCAGGCCTTGACACATGGGGCCCACCTCAGGGATACCCTCCCCCCCGAATTCTGCCTGGCCCAGCCCATGCGTAGACATCTTCGCTCTTTGCCTCTCTGTCCTCTGATGACCCAGGCCTGGGTGACCCAAGCCACTCGCCCTGAGTGCCTTGCCGCTGTCAGATTTTGGCCTTTTCTCGAGGAAGCTTCCCCCTCTTGATGCTCTAAGGGCAGAACTAGATGGGGACATCCTCGGCCCCTAGCCCAGCACCCATGAGTGGCCTGTCCCCTCCACGGAGGCTGGCGTCACTGTCCTCCCCCCGCCTTGGGCCCTGGGCCCTGGTCCCTGCTGCCCCCTAGGAGAGGCTGCCTCTGACCAGCCCACACTGGCGGGGTCATTTCAAACAGAATGTGTCTTCCCCAAGGTGAGAAACCCTACCAATGTGACTTCAAGGACTGTGAGCGGAGGTTTTCGCGCTCTGACCAGCTCAAAAGGCACCAGAGGAGACACACAGGTTTGTGGGCTGCTTCTCGCGGCTGGCTGTCGCCTTCCCTGGGGTGAGGGTGATGTTGGTTCTCTTCCTTATTGAACATGGATGAGAGGGTCCGCATCTGTTTTGTTTTTCCAAAATCTTTGTCCTCATCTGGAGGCTTTCCTTCTCTTAAAAAAAGAAGGGACGAAAAGGAGCGCCTCCGTCGCTCCCGGAAAGCCCGGCGCTCTCGGTCCCAGCTGCGGCTGGTGACGGTGAACACCATGGGTGCGGGGGCACAGCGCTGCCTGGTCTGCGGGTCTGTCTCCACACAGCCCGGAGCCGCTGGCGCGAAGCGGGATGTTGTGGTCCCGGACAGGAATGTTGTTGTTTGGGGACAGAGCAGGTGCTTGAGGGTCTTGATGCGGAATCCACTGGTTCTGCTGGGCCTGGGGTGTGGGGGACACCATAGGTGTGGCTGAAAGCCGGGCGCCTCCAGCCGCCACGAAGCCAGCCCAGCGCCTCGCCGTGGGCCGCATGTTAGGGCCGAGGCCAGACCCTCTCTGTCCGTCCAGGTGTGAAGCCCTTCCAGTGTAAGACTTGCCAGCGCAAGTTCTCCCGCTCCGACCACCTGAAGACCCACACCAGGACTCATACAGGTAAAACAAGTGCGTAAGCTTTTCTTCACTTTCATTTTTCGTTATTTTTGGTGTGGGGTGAGGTGTGTGGCGGAGATTAGCAAGGACTTGTGTGAGTGTGGCAGGGCTGGGGAAACCCAGTCACGGATGACCCGGGACTGTGCTCCATCCCTGTTTGGGAGGGTTGGTGCCTGGGTCATCTGTGCCTTGGTTGGTGTCCTCTGAGAGCTAAGAAATCGTGCTTTCCAGCTGGGGGCTGGGACATCTGTCCGTCCAGGGTGAGAAGGGAGTGATAACCCCAGGCCCGGCTGTCCCGGCTTGCCAGGTCTCAGTCGTGCAATGACTGACCTTGTGGAAGAAGCAGAGGATGTAGCAGGCCAGGCTTCACCGCCTGAGCCCCATGTCCCCCCGCCTGCCAGGTTGGCAGCAGTGTGTGGCTGTCATCTTCCTCCTGCGGGTACAGAGGGGACAGCAGCCACTGTTACCCTGGCTACTGACCACCCCAGCCAGGCTGCTGTGACCCCTGGGGACAGCTGTGCCCCCTGTGTGTTATCTTTACATCAAGATGAGGGAGGTAGATTTCACTCCCATTTTACAGATAGGGAGACTAAGGCACACAGGGGTCAGGTGGTGCATCCCAAGCCCCAGAGCTAGTACGTGGGAAGATCAGTCCTGCAGTCCCTAGGGGGAGGGGGCGTTGTCCTCAGCATCCCAGCAAGGACGCAGTGGGGGCAGCCAGGGCCAGCGGAGCTCAGTGCCACCAAGAGACTGAAGGAGTGTGTGTGTGGGGATTTGTCCCTCAAGAGGTGGGGAGCAGAAGCCAGATCTCAGCCCCAGCAGCTCACCAGAGCCTGGCATCCAGCAGGATGGTGCCCTGAGCCCCTTCTTGGCCACTCCCTTGGCTGTCCTGAGCTTACGACGCTTGGGGAAGGAGCTGTCGCCCTTGTGCCCGGCCCCTGCATCTGGCAGAAGTGACTGTGTGCGCAGTGGTCTCTTGGATGCTGTCTTCTGACCTGGGCATCACGTGCCGGGCACACTTGCCGCTGTTCGTCCCAGGCAGCAGTCAGGACAGAGGTCCGAGGACCCCTCCAGGCAGCACGCAGGGGCTTCGGACTTGGATGGCCCAGGTCTGCGGCGAAGGGGGTATTTTCCTTCCGTAGCTGTGTCCGGACATGTGAGAGACGCGCATATGTGTGCCTGGAGCCCAGCATGGCACACGGCTTGGTGTAGGTCAAGCACTGCATAAGACCTAACCTCCCCCTCCCAAGGACAAGCAGGCTTCGAGGAGATTAGGACCCTCGTGTGACAGAGGCCACACTCCAAGTCAGGCGTTAGCGTAAGATGAGCGGAGAGGACCAGGTGGGAACTTCCCAGTCCAGGCCCCTCGCAGGCGGCCCATGGACAGGGCTCCCCCAGCTAGTGCAGGCCAGAGAGGGGTCAGCACAGCATGTGCCAGTCACCCGGGCCTTTGCTGTCCCTGACCGGCACCTGTGCCCACAGGCGAGAAGCCCTTCAGCTGCCGGTGGCCCAGCTGCCAGAAGAAGTTTGCCCGGTCCGATGAGCTCGTCCGCCACCACAACATGCACCAGAGGAACATGACCAAGCTGCAGCTGGCGCTCTGAGCCGGAGGAGGGGGGCTCTATGGCCAAGGGGAGCCGCGTCCAGACAGATGTCGGAATCCCTCCTCCTCACCTCTCTAAAAAGGACTGGGAGTCGGTCATCGGCCTGCGTCTGGCTTCCAAGTCCTCTTCGACCAGCTCCCCGAGGCTTGCCGGAGGAGCTGTCTCTGCTCTGCCAGCCTTCAGTTGACCCGGGCTGGGGGTTGCAAAGCCCAGCACCGCTTGGTTGGAGTTTTCCGCTGTGAGAACGGTTGTTGGTGTCCCCCTGCTCCTCCTAGCTCATTTCACTAGGAATGGAGTGGCTTTACCGTTTCCCATCCTGGGGTAGTTGTAGGCCAGGCCATGCGTATGCGTCTGCTAATGTAAACTTCGTCATGGTTTCCATTTACTAACAAACAGTGAGAAACAAGTCTGGGAAATGTGGCGGGTGGGTGTTGGCGGACCTCCGGGGGCACGCGGGCTGCTAAACTGGGGCGCAGGAGGGGCCTCTCTCTGCTGGGCAGTGTCGGGCTCCTGCACCTCATGCAACTGGGAAAAGCTTCGGAACTAACCAGTACCTCTGCACAGAAACACCCCCGAAAGCCTCTCACTGCAGGTGGTCTCGAGCTGACATCCACACGGTGCCCCCAGGAAACTGCTTGAAGCTCCTAGATTCCATTTCAACTTTTTTCTTTTGACTTACAGTCGTCAGAGAGGTACAGAAGTCACACAAAGAAGCGGGGCTCACTTTCATCATTTGGGGTGCCATTAGATTGTGCAGACCACATTGGCCGCGTGGTTTCAAGTTGTAAAAATTTAAGTGACGAAGAAAATAGGGGCTGTTGAGGACCCCGCTGAAGAGATTGTTCCCGAGTAACTTAAGTGACTGGGTCCTCACGGATACGTGAAAAGACTGCCGAGGGTGGGGGTTCATGGGCTGCAGGTGGTAGGGTGAGTGTGTGAGTGTGAGCGTGTGTTCTGTGTTTGAGGGCGGGAGTTTATTATTTGCCATTGCTTGAAATACTGTGTACATATAGATCTGATGATGATCTCCTCTTTGACCACTAAATTAGGAAGTGTACAGATGCTGGGGCCTCGCTGCCGGGTGCTGTCTGCGGCGTATTGATGTTGACACTAAACTTGTAACTCGCATTCTCACACTCCTCTGATTAAAGTCTCCTCAAAAGTCAGTGGCGGGATCCTCCTGGCCTGTTGTGCTGTGCTCTTCTCCACGGGTAGCCAAGGGCCACTGGCCAGTCTGTCCCTCGCCCTGCAGTGGTAGTGGGCACGGAGAGTGAGGGTTTACTTCACCAAGATTCTCTGGGCCTTACTCCTTATCCATGTGGGCAGGAGACAGGAGGTGCTGGTGAGAACCGGTCCCGTGGACACTCTGACGCGGCCCCAGGTCGGGGATGCACCGCTGAGCACGAGTTCCTACACTTTACCGCTGACCAGGGCCCGCTGAGAACGGCTCAGCAGGTGGACAGCGGTCCAAGCTCCCCAGCCTGGCAGGTGGGGGCAGAGCTCTGTGTGATGCACAGGCCCGGCTCCTCTGGGGGCTGCGGTGCTCCCAGAGCAGATCAGGGGATGCCCTGAGCATGGTGCGGCCCCATGAGCTCGAGCTTGATGCATGCTGTTTCCTTCCTTTCCACACTGAGGTGCGGCTGAGCCCGGCCGCCAGGTCCCCCTGGGAGACCCTCGTGTGCGCATCTGGCTCTGTCACCGTTAATTACAGCAAGTGTGTGACTCGGGCCAGCATGCTGGTCTTTGTGTGCCAGGGACAGCTTTCTCTGGGGATGCTCAGGACCACCAGGTATGCATTGGCGAGTCCGAGAGGGTTCTGCAACTGAACTGCTTCCTCTGCCGGGGGATCCTGCTCTGCCTGCCCGGCCGGGTGTGTGCTGAAGTCCGGGCTTTGGACGGCAGGGCATCGTGGCTTCACGCTTGGGTCCTGTTTCCTCGCTTGCAGAGGAGGACAAGAGCCTGTGCTCATGGGTCGTAGTGAATGTAAACGTGTGAGAGCACCTGGCACAAGCAGAGGCTCACGACAGAGTTGTCCAGGAAAACCCCCCCGCACACGGGCTGCCCGCCCGACCCACCAGCAGGGTGGAGGCGCTCTGTGGGTCTGCACTGAGCTGACACCCTGCCTGTCCCTCTACCCCGAGCCGGAGGGGAGTCTTGCAGACGTTGGGCTTTTTGGCCATCTCACCACAGAGAACACACCTGAGTGCTCCGTGTCCTCTGTAAAGTGCCTGGTGACAGGTGCTGCACACCTGTGGTCCCAGCTCCTGGGAGGCTGAGGCAGGAGGATCACTAGAAGTTCCAGGCCATCCTGGGCTACTAGTGGGTTCAAGCTAGCCAAACTGCTTAATAAGCCTCTGTCTCAAAACTTCAGGGTGCCTGGTCTACGCTGGTGGGTTCTGAGACCCATGCCGCCAGGGCATGTGGGTAGCAGGGTTCCCTGGGGCCCGGGCAGAGCCCGCACTGTCCACTCTTGCTGGGCTCTGGGGCCTGCTGCAGTGTGCGTCCTCTCAAGTCCCAGGCTCCCCGAGCCCCCACGTCTGCGCCCCGCAGCACTGGGCTTTGCACCTCGGCCAGTCCCTGCGTCAGGCCAGCCAGCCAACGCCTGCGATTGAGGGGCAGTGAACCTCATCCGCGGTGAGGGTGGCCGGGCTCTGCTGGGTGGAACCGTGTCCCCGGGCCTGGGGGAGCCCCTCAGGGAGACTCGGGGATGAGTGTGCAGAAGCCGCACCTCCCCGCAGCACACATGGTGTGATGGCCCAGCTCCCTGAGTCCCGGCCCCAGTTGGCAGCTTCCCCGTGGCTGAGGGCACGCGCAGGGCGCTCCTGTCCTGCCTGCTGCGAGCAGCCTGCTTAGCTCTCGGAGGCTGTGCGCGTGCGCGGACCAGTGCGCTGCACCACTGTGCGACCCTCCCCGCGGCTGTGCGCGTGCGCGGACCAGTGCGATGCACCACTGTGCGACCCTCCCCGCGGCTGTG